GCGTGCCGAGTGGACCCAGTTGGACACCATCCCCTACTAAGCGAAAAGGGGGAAAAAAAAAAAACTCGAAAATTCGAAAAATTCGCGCATGCGCGTAAGCTATGCCTCTTCCTCCATATATATATATATTTTTTTTTTCAATTTTAGTGTTCGATGTAGGTAGGCATGACGTATCTTCGATTTTACCACTACACAACCGCGAGAGATTTAAACTGTAAATAAGTATGTTTAGATGCATTAATAATTATCATATATATATGTAAACGTTCTTCTCCAATGACCCAATGATATTTTACCGGTTCCTAAGTCTAAAAAGCATGAACTTATTGATTTAAACGACCTTTGCTAAAAATTCAGGCGTCCTCCGTATGTGTGTACAAAGTTCTTTTACTCGTGGTCATCGCTCGGCAACGTAGGAGAGCAGTCATTCAGTTTCATGCAAATTTCCAGACCAATCTCTCCGTCCATCCTTACAAAAAGAACCAAGGGCAGATTTTCCATTTACTTTGTATCAGATTATGACTTCTTTCAATAGAGTCGAACCGTCTTCCTCCTCAGTTTTCTCTTGTTTCTTAAGGCGTTGGGGAAATACGAGGTTAGTTCTTTTTGCTCTGCATCTACTCCCCGTGATTTTACACCTGGCCGTTCTCAACGGAATGTGCAATGGATTTGATGGAATCCACTAATTGAAATAAGGACTGTAAGATGTGTACATGCTGTAACAGGACCTTACAGTGCGTCACCCTCACTCCCACAATAATCATTGCTCCGTTATTTCTTGCCATGCTTCTTCTCACGCGCTACCCCGAGGTCGGGACTCAAACCAAGGTCTTCAGTTAAAAAAAAAACCGCTTCACTGTGGTTAATGTTAACTACATTTTTAAATTTCAAAATTACTTCTGGCTTAGCCTACGGGCTTGCTTCCCACTCATGGTGCATACAGGCTCTCCTATGTGACGATCCTTAACACGAGACTGGAGCAATGAGAAGGGAGTTTGAAAAACAAGTATGCCTACAGAAAGACGGACCAGTTTTCCACCCCAAACTCCACATTTTATTGTAATTAAAGTGATCAAAATCCAAAATTGTATGAATTACGCCTAATACCCTAATCAGACATATTTCTGGTACAAATTTTTTATTCTTATTATCATCCAAAATACACAAATCGCCTTGCTTTTGTATGTTGTTTGCGTTTTCTTCCAAAGGAACTCTGATGCTAGTAAAGAGGCTGGTGTTGAAGTAAACGCAGAGAAAACTAAGTATATGTTGTTTATGTATATGCTGCTATGTCGTTGCCAGAATTCAGGGCAAAATCATAACATATAGACAGCTAACAGATCCTCGGAAAATGTGGCACAGTTCAAATATTTCGGAACGACAGTAACAAATCAAAATTTGATTCAGGAGGAAATTAAGAGGAGACTGAGTTCGAGGAATGCTTGTTACAGTTCCCTTCAGTTCAGAACATTCTGTCTTCTCGTCTGCTTTCTAAAAACATAAAAATTAAAATATACAAAATTACAATTTTGCCTGTGGTTTTGTATGGGTATTGTTGTGCCCGAACCTTTCAGGGAGTTTAATTTTTTGATATTTTAAAATTATTTTAATAAGTTTACGAAATGTTGAAATTGTGTATGAGTTAGGACTGATGAATGACCAGCGGAATAACCGGAAACAGGAGCGATATCCGTTTCCGGTAGTCAGCCGTTTCCCGAGTATGGCGGAGGAATTTATGAGACAGTCAGGAAGGATCAAATATGGGCAAGTTGCGGGAACGGAAGAGGATTTAGCCAATGGGAATCGTCGATTGCGACGCGTACCGTGAGGATGGAAGCGCCCCCACGTTTCCACAAGGCATAAAACCCTGAAACATGGGGCGGAGATGAGCGTGTCAGTACAAAAGTCACTTGAGCCTTAGCGGCACGACACACGTCGGGGTGCGAGGCACGCCACCGAGAGAGGACGGAGAAGATAGGCACATAGTTGCAGCCCAGTAGACGAGGTCGCGTGAGTACTTGTCCATGAATGGTCACGGTCCAGATTGTCATTAACTTAGGGTTAGGATAAGTAAACCAAGTAGCATGTTAGAATTAAGTTAGACGTAATTGCGAACTAGTGTAAGTAAGAGAGAACCGTTTGTACCAACTACGCTCAGGCAGGACACGCCAGACGGAGCCTCACGCCGAAGGCTGAGTGGCCACGGTCCTTAGTCCGATCGAGTTAGCGAGTGGAATATCTGACACGGCATGAACATTTGTGTGATTATCACTAACAGGCTAGCTGACAGGCTAGGGAAGCCAGAGAGGGAACATCACTTTGCTGTATTATCAACCATGTTTGCTTATAATTAAGACACTATGAATTATCACCATTGCAGACTGGGAGGAGAGTGCACTATATGTAAACAGAGAGCTAAGGAGCACGAATATTATTCCTTAGATGTTTGTAACCACTTACGAGTATATACTTATATATCCAAGGTGTTTGTGTAATTGAGAATGTTTTGGGTATTACTGTCACTGCACCCTCACCCCTCCTGATCCGGCGAGAGAGATCTACCGGTGACCACAGGGGAAGGTTATGCAACCACCTTTGCGGCACAACAGTATGCAACTTGGTCTCTTTGACAGTAAGAGAGGAATATGGACTGAATAGGGTGCTGAGGAGAATATTCTGACTGAAGAGAGATGAAATGACAGGTTTGAGAAAGTTGCATAATGAGGAGCTTAAAAAATTGTATCCTTCGCCAAGTATAATTACAAGATGAAGTCAAAGTGGATGAGACGGACAGGACATGTGGCACGAATGGGGGGCAAGAGGAATGCATACAGGATATTGGTGGGAAAGTCAGAAGGAAACAGACCATTAGGGAGATCAAGACGTTGGTGGGTGGATAATACTAACACGGATCTTAGAGATTTAGGATGGGGTGGTCTGGACTGGATTGATCTGGCTAAGGATAGGGACCAGTGGAGGCATCTTCTGAACATGGCAATAAACCTTCGGGTTCTACAAAATGTTGGAAAATTCTTCAGTAGCTGAGCGACTGGCGGCTTCTCAAGACGGACTCAGCTCTATGGTGTTAGTGAGTTTGTGTTTCGTTCCTCTTCTTTATTTGTGCTCACTTTGTAATTGGACTTTGGACTGTTAAGTTTGCATGTAAATTAATAAGAACTGTATTATTATTATTATTATTATTATTATTATTATTATTATTATTATCTCTTGTCACATGTTTATTTCCTGGTATTCCTTTTCTTGAACCAGTGATGCACCTCACCACTCAGGCTTCAAGCTTCGCACTGTAGCACTTTCCGCAGTATGTGTGATGTTCCCAGGATAGCTGTCTTTTGCAGTGAATCTATGGAGTGCTTACCAGGAATTAGTTTCAAATATTTTCTCAACCCTCTCGTGACTGTACCCGTGGCTCCAATAATTACTGGTATCACAAAACACTTCATGTTCCACATTCGCTGAATTTCGATGCTTCTATTGTTGTCGTCGTCGTCGCCGTCGTCGTCGCCGCCGTCGTCGTCGTCGTTGTTGTTGTTAAGGGAATATTTTATACCGCCTCTGTGGTCTAGTGGTTAGCGTTCCTGGCAACAGATCCAGAGGTCCGGGTTCGATTCCCAGCGCTACCATATTTTTTTCTGAGTAGTAGTGGGTCTGGAACGGGGTCCACTCAGCCTCATGAATATGCTATGTATGTGCTCTGTTACGTTTACAAGGTTACATTCGTCATGCAGGATTTTGTTATCCGCCTTTTTGCATATCTGCACTTTCACGTCAATGTCACGAGAAACGTGACGTCCTACCCACGGTCACGGCAGAAGCTATCGCGCATGACCACTGAGTTCCGCGGACAGTTCCACTGACTCGCCTCACGATTTCGACTTATTGTTAGTCAGGTCTTTTAATATTGTGACGTGCCGCCAGGAAGGCCGGACGATAAGACGTCCATCACTGGTCAACGGCTAACAATTCCTAGGAAATCGTTGCCCCGGAGATGAAAGTCTAACAGTGGGGTTTCCACCGTTATTTGTAACGAATTGTTTGAGATAGTAAACATGTACTCCTGCGGGAACAAGAAAATCGTTTGTATAGCAGCGGGAATTATGTATCCCCGAGGCAACAAAAGAGTCGTTTGCATAGCAGAGGGCGAAATGAAACCATTCGACAAGATGTTCCCTATTCAGCACAAGTGCAGGATATAACAGTCCAACTTCGGCAAGAGACCAGTTACTTCGTATCCGACAAGAGACCAGTAAAGTTCGTGGTCCGCGCTGCCTGGGAAACGCGCGGCTCCGAGCAGAGCAGAAGACACTTCATCGAGATTAACTGTGCGAGAGGGTTGTAACACTGAAGAGGAAACGTCTGAAGACGTTATAAGTGCGAATAATTGTATCTGTGAGTGTAAAGAGTGAGTCTCCAATAAATATTCGTCCAAATACGAGACCCACACAATTTTTTTTTCGCGCTGCCTGGGAAACGCGCGACAATATTCATACCTCTACCCCTGCTGAACAGTTCCGGTGTTTCTTTTGCTGACTTCCCGTATCACACGTTATGAGTGAAGGCGGAAATTTTCAGCAAAGCAATATCGGAGTAAAACGACTCGCCTGTATCGTTTTAAAAGGTATTATCTTTAAAAAGAAGTCTGAATAATTGGGTGCCTGAGACAGTACTACACACTGCATGTACGCTTCGAGAAACAGGTCATAGGTTTATTTATCCGAAAGACATACTCGGCTTCTTAGACTGGAGCCACACGAGCGCAAAAAATGCGTCCGTTGTAGAAATAAACAAGAGAAGCCAATGCTAAGCTTTCTTCTGGCACCATTGCAGACAAAAAACAGCATTCTGCAACTGTGTGGTGTCCTCAGTAACGACCGTCATAAAGTATGTTCGTTGCAACGGACGTACTTTGTGCGCTCGTGTGGCCCCAGCCTTAGAAAGCTGGGTTAACTGATAGCACTACACGAGATATATGAACTTACCAATGCCGATGCCGACGATGATACGCCCGGCCAGGAGGACTTCTTTCCCGTTTGCCAGGCCCATGATAATGGAGCCAGCCGAGAAGACGATGCTTGCCAGCAGGATCACAGGTTTCCGACCAAGTTTATCTGCAACAGATATTACAATATATCAAATTAATTATTTATTGTGTACTTTCTCCATATCCGCGATGTTTTGTGGAGTTTAACGTTTTTCGTTATGGTTCCACCTGTGGTCTAGTGGTCAGGGTTCCTGGCTACAGATCCAGAGGTCCCGGGTTCGATTCCCGGTGCTACTAGATTTTCTGAGAGGTAGTGCGTCTGGAACGGGGTCCACTCAACCTCATAAGGATAACTGAGGAGCTATTTCAAGGAAATAGCGGCTCCGGTCTATGAAACCGACATTAACGGCCGTGGGGATTCCTTGCGCTGACCACGCGACACTCTCTATCCGCTAAAGTTGGCACTCACTTCGCCGACAAGAGGCGGTCGCTCGATCGGTATAGTTCGTTGCGGACTACAGGCCTAGGAGTTTCCGAATAAATTCTGTCCTTCTGAACTTCATTCTTATGTCTGTCATCTGATTCAACCACGAACATCTAACGGCATGAAAATAGACTAATTTTCTGAAAACTGGCATGAACAATATGCCAGAGGATGAACTTCCATGTTCAGTGTTTTTCAGTTACGTGCTATACAACAATTCCAACATTGTGATAGTGCGAACATATGAGGTGGGAATACCAAAGTCATTAATTAGAGAGATCGGAAGTGAGGCCCAGTGAGAGATCGTTGGAGAAAATGTAACATTTATTGGATTGATTGTTTCACGATGATGGCATCCGCTCGAGAAGGTTTGGTGTGACACAGACTCATGAATCATATGTATCACAGGCATGCATATTGCCTACAAATTGTGAACGAACATTTTTAGCCTTGAAGAAAGCAGTCTTCTGGGATTTGGCACCGTGCATATGTGGTGTTAACCGACGTTTCGGAGGAACGTATCCTGCTTTTTACCGTTCTCACGGTCTTGTCGCTTGCAGATTTCTTATACTTTTTCTTCTACCCTGAAGATGGAGGCGATACGTTCCTCCGAAACGTCGGTTAACACCACATATACACGGTGCCAAATCCCACAAGACTGCTTTCTTCATAGTCACCGCCGTGAAAGCCTCAAATCTCACATATTTTTTTCCTTGATTTCTTGTGTTACTGTTAATGGGAAATTACGAAATTATGGAAAATTGGCATGGACTTTCGAACACATCGTTATAACTGCGTCCTGAACGATTCGCTGTAGGAACAGGATTACCTTATCACTTCGACATGACAATTGAATTACCGACGTTCTTATATTCGCATATATAATAACTTCAGGAACAGCTCAGATTTATGTGTACGGTTTGTAGTCACATTACTCTGTGTCTTAAGGAGCGTCACTTCCAACCATACTGCGGGCACAAATACTAAAGCGAATCTTTTAATACTGGGGGGGGGATTTTTTGACTAATTGAGAGGTTATGAATTCCTGGAGAAGACCTCCGTTACACAGAGCTACTTATGTATACTGCAGGCACAATGACGGATTTTTATTTTGAATAAAATTACCTCATAGTCCCCATCCTCCATAAAAACGTATTTCATCTGTTCAGTGATCAGAAATCAAATTTCAAATTCTACTGACCCTGAACTTAAAAAAAAAGCAGCAATTACAGCTCAGAAACACATNCCGTAGCCTACTGATGACGAAAGGAAATAATTTATGAAGACGTGGGCATAACCATTTTTTTTAATTCTGCACTTGATCCCCCTTATCCTACTGCCGGCCATTAATGAGGGCGAATCATTCGAAAATGTTAGGTTACTTATTGAAGTAAGCCTATGAGCCAATATGAACTGAGACATAAAATTCATCTTATTTTGTTCTTACAAGGGCCCTTGCTGTCAGGGTGTTTTAGTACCGTATGCCAAATCCAATCATTGGGTTATGTTTTATCACACTGACATGATGTGAGAAACTACCTGAAAGCTGTTAAATAGAAATCAAATCAGTCTTTGACAACAAAAACATTTAATACAAGTAGCGTAGCTACAAGCCGGAAGGTCGCGGGTTCAAGTCCCGGTGAGGTCATTGGATTTTTTTCAGTTGACCTAACCCTTCCAGCCACACTAGGCCGTGGGGTTTACTCAGCCTCTAACAGAAATGAGTACCAGGAATTAAATAAAGAATTTTCCTGGGGGGTAAAGGGCGGCCGGCGCGTAAGGCTGACAACCTTACCGCCATCTGCAAACCGATTGTCTAAATAATGTGGGACCCTCAACGTCTCACAACCCTATGGGCCTTCACGGCCTGGTGCAGGGATAGCTTTACTTTTTTTTTAACGATAATACGACAAAATCAAATAAAATAAAATAAAATAAAAACATTCAATCTGGCGTAATTTAGCACTTCATTTTTGGCGATTCCCTATGGAATTTGTATATAAGACCATATTAACTTCGCCATGTCTTGTCTATCTTTGTCTGTTTCCGTCTGTCCGAATGTAACAACTCGAAAACAGATGAAGAAATTTTCAGACTCTTTGTTGGAGAACTTTGCTAATGTCTGAATTAAGATTAGAACATTAACTTTCATTTTGAACAAAAACCTACATGCATCACTGCGTGCATCTCGTTAAATATCTGTTGCAGCGAAAATGTTTCGAACAAAAGTTATTATTAGCCATGGAGCTGAACCCTTCTTGAGGAGTCGCCAATTCTGCAGCTACTCTAGAATTTCCCAGCATTTTATGGAACCCGAAGGTTCATTACCGTGTTCACAAGAGCCCTCCATTGGTCCCTATCCTGAGCCAGATCAATCCAATCCATATCATCCCGTTCTATCTCTCTAAGATCCATTTTCTAACATTCCAAGTACCGAATCTCATATCCACTTAATAAAGAAAATTGAAACATATACTTTACGAGCAGTGTACACAATGGCCGTTTTCAGTGGATTCTACACATAGAGATAAATAAACAAAAGGGAGAAAATGGGCCAGAACTGTTATGCATTTATTTAATAATACTGTCACGTGTTGGGTAAGCACACGACAAATAACTTCACGCCGTTCTGGATCTAGGGAATTTATTGAACACTCGCTCTTACACTGATACAATTCACAGTTTCACAATTACTGCCGTCGGCAGTATCACAAATACTTCTCCTGTAGTCATTTCCATACAACTCAAAACAATGGGCTTCAACTCACTCCGGCGAATGCTAGACTGCAACTGACTGCTTAAAGCCAAAATCACATTGCGACTGACAGTCAGTCGGTCAGTAAGTCTTGGTGTCGAGCCCCATCTGCACCTTATGACCAGATATTTATTACTGTTTGACAGGTACAGTCCTGTTTCTGTGGGGCGCCATCTCTGACGAGAGGACGGGTCTGTCTTTTGCATATGCTGCTGGCCCTTGCCAGCGCAATCTTTCTTGGGTCCGAGTCCTTTGAGACTCGTGACCGTATTTTACTGTCTCAGAACTGAGACTTCCCTTTTCGTCGCCTCTTACGACTCGCAGGGTCACGGTGGAGGTGTTCGAACCCCCTCTCTCTGACTGCTTAGGCATTCCAGTTCTCTTATAAACCTTCAGCCGGACAGCAGAAAACGCAATTCGTTCCCTGTTGCGTAATCGCCGTGTTTACAGTCGTTGCTGGGCAACGTTGCCGAGAATTGTTTATTGCTGCGTAGCAACCAGCGTGCTTCGGCTCGGAGGAACACCGCTTTCCTTACTGTTACGTAACTTGGCAACCGACCGTTTATCAAGGGTCTGTCTTCGTGGTAACTCGTTCCACCTCCCGTTTCCCAGCAACGAATAGGCATGTCACAATATGATAACTTAATATGAGCCTTTATGATGTTTACTGCGTCTCTGATGGCCATCGCAGTTAATCGCAAAAAATTTATGAGGAATTAACGACTGAATCGATTAATTCAAGCATTAAAGCACATATAGGATTCAAGTAAGATGTAAGTACGTTTTATCAAGGACCTTCATGTATTACATAATAGTAACAGGTGTACTAAGCAAGTTTTCTGGTTTAGTAGTTTCCGACCTAATTATTCTATTAAAACAGTATAATTATCGAAGATATACTTTGTGTAATAAGGCATAAATGTTAGGTATGCCAATTCTAACACCAGATTTAGCTACAACTGAATAATTCAATTAATTTCTCTATTATTTGTGTGCCAAGTCATCAGCTACAAGGCGAATTACAGACACTACACAGTGTAGGTACAGGTAATTACATTATGGACAAACACAAAGTCATAGACTAATTAAAGGTAAGAAATTGTGGAAAAACACATTAATGCAGAGAAGTAAACAAACAAAGTAATGATAATGGTAATTATAATAATCATACAGAAGAAATATAAATAATCTGCATATATGAATATATATGAGAATTACAAAAAACAAACGAAATAAAAAATATCTGAAAAAAAAACATCTCTCAGGTCCCAGTATATGGCGTTCATGTTGCAAGAAGGGAAAGAAATTCTGAACTTTTTCAGCTCAGAAACCGACTTAATTCCCTATACTTCCTGATACTAAATATCAAGATATATAGATACGTTCGCAAGCTGCTTATATGGGTATGTTTTATTCCGAAAGAGCATAAATACAGGTATTCTAAAATGAGCATGATCTGTTAAGTAACTGGTCATAATAATAACGAAGTGAAGGAGCAACTAGAGAAGTATGAACTTAAAGATGGGTGGACATTTCGTCAGAATTTGTCAAATCAGGAATATATACTACCTACTATGAGGTATATATCTCCAAAACATCCATCTGGAAGACAGGGAACAGAAACGGCGAAACAAACAACAAAAACAAACTCCGTGATTTTAGTCCGCAAGCGAACTATACCGACCGAGCGACCGCCGCTTGTCGGCGAAGTTATTGTCAACTTTAGCGGATAGAGGGTGCCGTGTGGTCAGCGCAACGGATTCTCACGGCCGTTAATCTCAGTTTCCCAGACCGGAGCCGCTACTTTTCCATTGAAGTAGCTCCTACTTCTCAGAAAATCTGGTAGCGCCGGAAATCGAACCCGAGACCTCTGAATCTGTAGCCAGGA